AGGGAAATAGTGACTTTAGTGACTTTTTGGAGTAAAAAGTAACTTTTTAGTGACTGGCTTCAAAATAGTGACCAAGTCACTAAAAAGTGACCTGCTCATTACCCCTAGGTATGTCCCGAAGAAACAATACGAATACAGTGAAAAATGAAAAAGATATAGATAATTTTGTTGTTCGTTTTATAAACTGAACAATTACCTTAGACTGTAACTGAAAAATAAATAAAAGTAACCTTAAAATATTATTGCAGATTTGGAAAGTGTGATAAATTTCATATAAGAATTGATCAAGAGCTTATGGTTTGGGTAGCTCAAAATGATTTGGTGAGCTTTTCCATTCACTGCTCAATAACTACTCACCAAAACATTCGGGCTACACTCAAAATAATCGACACGTTATAGTTACGTGAAAAATCACGTATAGCCACCCACTCGTTTCCGTTCGTACCGTATTTTCCATAAAAAAAAAAAAATTTTGTATGGAAAATACGGTTCGAACGAAAACAATAATATGGGTGAGTATCTCTTTTTGTTTTTTTTCCTTTGATTTGTTTTCCGTCGATCTTGTTTTCCGTGCTGAGCACCAATGCTACCGACGCCAGGTAGGCAGTTCCCACACCTGGACCCTACCACCTATCGACCCATCAACTCATGAACCGGGGAACAACGGCTTTACTTCCCTTCCGAAGGAAGACGTGATCAGAGATGTTATACCTCAGAACATCCCGGCGGCGCCGACTGGGATTGAACGCAGGCCTGCTGGGGTGAGAGGTAATCACGCTTACCACTACACCACCGGCGCCGCTATATCTCTTTTTGGTTTGCCGTCAATTTTACATGACCCAAGTAGAATCTACATGACACCACTTATAAATGAGAGGAAATTCCATTTGAAACCGTTACATTTTTTAATGAAGTTTACGTGATTTGCCCATACACAGATTCTATGTGCGTTTCACGTAAACCCTAAGTGACTTTCACGTTTGAAAAAATAAATGAGTGACACTCAATATGGCGCTAGTTGAGTGGGCATATTTTAGATGTTACTTTTGTGTGGGTTAATTTAATGTGGTAAGTTTAATGAATTAAACATTTACATAGAGAATAATGAAGACGGTTTCTTTTTTAGTGTGAAAGCATTATTCATGGTGTAAGATCAAGTGCAGGATAGGCATTTGTATTACATGTATGTTTTCCCGTTCCCGATCCTTGGCCCGATCGAATCTAATTTCAATATGTTTTTGTTGCCGATGTATATATTTTATGACAAAATAATGGCATATGCAGAAAATGCTAGATTTTTGCCTAGTGCGAAATCAAGAATACATTTTATTCAAATCGTAGCAGAATCAACATCATAAGAAACCACCATGAGCTGTACTGAAAGAATCACGTAACATCTACGTGATAATCCAGTGACGTTGAAGCTCACTGAAATGAGTGCTTCCATATGAGAATCACGTAACGTCTACGTGAAAAGTGCTATGGAAAAAAATCTATGTATGTTTTAACGTAGCATTAACGTGAAGATTATGTTGAGTGTACTTAAACATCGACCAATTATAACTCTGCGGGACCTACACTGAACCAAACCACCCTCCATTTATAGAATGAAACATCATTTCAGTTGCACCCCTAACCATCCCTCTCCAAAGGGGGAGTTTGGTAAAGAGAGATAGAGAGATGATAAAACCGATTTGTACCTTTCTAAAAATTGTCCTAGCTCGCTGTCTACTCTCTATATGCAATTTTCACACTGCGTACTCTAACTCTAGACTTCATCTCTTCCATCTATCGTATGAAAATTACCACTTCAGTCTGTTATTTGAAATTAGCATCTTCAACTATGTAAATCGTTGACTTCACGCAGAAGTAATACTAAACATATAGTCAAAGTCATTATTCTGGATCGAGGAAAAATTTAACCATGCGTCTAGGACTTCAAATCGCGAACTCGACAAACATTGTAAGATTCAGGGATAAACTTTAAAGATGTTAAAGATGATGCTGGGACTTAAAAATTCAAGGTCTGTAAGACCTCAAAATAAAAAAAAATAATGGCCTGGAACAAGTTTTGAAATTTTGAATATATAAAATGTAAGAAACAATTAAATACTTCCGAAACGTAGAAAACATTGTATGATCTTGAACACAGAAAATCTGTATCTAAAATCTGGACTTGAATATTGTTTGATTACAAGTTTGGTTACAAGTCCGGAAAAAAATACGATACAAGATCGATCGACTAAGAAAATAATACAAGATTTTGTGCCAGATTTGTATAAATACACTTAGGAAACTAGAAATACAATTTTCATAATAAGTTTTGTATGAACGAACATTTTGCACTCCAAAGCACTCATCCTTTCTTTGAATTTTAAACTCTTTCTAAGAATTCGCTGGAGCTTAAATTTTGTTATATTTGCATGAAATTCTCCCTAGAATTCACCTCAGACCAACAATAGAAAAGAGCCTATTAGCTTTTGTGAGCAAAACTTGTAATCCCCCTTCCCTGCCAACACCATCTGGCAGGCAAAATTCTCCCGCCGAGAATTGTCTCCAAATTTTGCTCAGAACTATATTGGAGTTCGCCTCTAAATTCTTCTGAAAATTGTATGGAATTCTCATTAACATTCTCTAGAAATTCCTTTCGAAATGCGCTTGGAATTATACTCGGACTATTCTTATATATCTTCGCATAATTATTTTGGAACTGTATCCTCGAATTTCGCGTTCCTTGGTATTTTTCAAGAATCCTGTTCACTCTTGAGAGATCTAGTAAAAACTCTGCTAGAAGTTTTCTTAAAGGTCCCTAGAAAAAATCTTGGTGTGATATAGTTATATAGAATTCATTCTAAAATCTGCTCTCAAATTTGTTTAGGAAATAAAAAAATCTAAAATTCTCTTCACAGTTTCTTAAAGTGACTGTAGTTATCCTGAAAATCTAGACCAGTCCAAGGGTCTTGAAATCTTATTGTTTTCGAAGAAAGGATGAGGTATATTTTTCCAGATTTGTCAACTAAATTCGTGGGATTTTCCGGTGACTTCAAATTCCAACTTTTTCCGGTTTTCCCGGTTCACTGGTCACTCTACATTTCACATATTGAACACTTGTTTTTAATCCCATTATATTTGTTTTGCCTTGAGCACATTTTGAGACTCAGTTCCCTAAGAAAATTATACCGGATAATATGTTTAACCAAAAGTTAGTTCGCTGGCGGACTCCTCCGGTGGGAAATAGTAAAAATGACGCTTGCATCTCAAAAATTCTTTAAGTTAGTTCCATCTACATTGATAGCAGCAACATTACCATACTAAAACTTTACTGTGAAGCTAATTTTACGAGCTAACCAGGTTTTCAATGAAGACCTAGAATACTTAACACAGCCACTCTTTATTCTTGTCTACGTATCTTTGAATCATTATGCAATCATAAAAGTGCTACTCCAAGCAATAAAAAAAAACCTCCCAAGCAAGACCATTATCCTAAATTCTCATTTAGTTAGTTCTCTGAGCGAATCAAGCTGTTAGGAACACAGTAAGGAACAAGAACTAAAAGTATTTGAAAAAAGTTGAACCAGGCACAACTTTTCAAGCCAATTGAATTCAACTGAGTTAATCAATGACTTGCCTTGTCTAAGCCCAGCTCAACTCTTAATCATTCTTGCATTTACCCAAAAGCACTCCAATGCGCTCAATAGATTGATTTTGTTGGACACAGCTGGATCGAGCAGGCGCATAATCTGCTTGAAAGTAAAATTTTGTCAGACGAAATTGGGTATAACATCTATTAAGAGACGCACATTTCCATAAGCAGCTTAATTTTGCAACAACTAACAACGTCTAGCGTTTCTCCGGAACTGAATTTTTATCTCGATTCAACTCAGGAATGTGACAACACCCAGGGGAGCTGAATTTATATATAATAGGTTCAAAATCATCGATATACCCTTTTATTCGAGTTACTTTTGCTCCACTTCATTAGTAATGATAGTGCGGATCGTAATCACCTAAATTATCGTTGACTAAACGACTAACGTTTAAAATTATAGACTGTGTGGCTTTAAAAACGTGCAAAGGAACAATAATGTTCCAAGCATTATCGCGCCCCGTAACGTGGGTAGATCACCTCTTCGAGCCTTGAAACAAAAATCTTACAAACAAAAATAAAAAAACGTTATAATATCTCATAGTTTCGTAATTCCGAATACTAACATTTCAGCTGTAATGAACAATTGCAAGACTGGTTTTAAAATTGCGTTCCCATAGCTGCCATTATTAATTTAAACGCTAATTTTAATTGTTCAAATTGGCGTTTAAATAAAAAAAAAATCTTTACTGCGCAGAATATGGTGCCTCCACGGTAAAGCAATGGGGAAATTTGTGTTATGTCATTCCACCGTTCCGATCAAGCTATGTCATCAACCGCAATTGTGACCAACAAACTATCAAACAATTTTATCTTGTTGCTTGCCGTTATTGATCACCCATTATAGTTTTTCTCGTATGTCATATGTCATTTTGTCACGATAAGGACATTTTTGATTCCCTTGTGTTTTAAAAAAGCATACAATTCTATGGTTTTATTTGTATTTATTATTTATCTAAGGAGTCATATGTGCAAATTTTGTATTCAATTATTTGAGAGTGATTTAAAAATCTATTCTTGAATGTGACACTATCAATTTGATACCAAAAATTCATGTCAAATAAAAGCCGCAAGACAACATCTGGGGAAATATGTCAAAAAGGCCTAACTCGAAAATGTAAACGCGATTAAGACCCATCCAGGCAAACCGCGACAAGTGGAGGCCCATTGACGTGGTTGGATTTGCCTCAAAATTGGAACACTAGACTTTTCGTGGAATGGTGTTCAACCGATCAAAATCTATCAACCAATTTCTACGAAAGCATGCTTCCTGTGCGCTCGAGCGCAAGGGTCAATTTTCTAATATACACAACCACACTCCACCCTTTAGTAGAGAAGCTTAAAGTGACTTTACATATTGTACCTGCACGGGCTGGTTAGCGATAACCAGATTGCGCATCGTGTGCTGTTGATTGTTCTGGGCTTGGTTTTGCTGTTGCTGAGCTTGCTGCTGTGCGGCTTGCTGTTGCTGCTGTTGTTGCGCCTGCTGCTGTGCCTGCTGTTGCAATAGATGCTGCTGAGCCTGTTGTTGTTGTTGGGCTTGTTGTTGTGCTTGCTGTTGAGCGGCTTGCTGCTGCTGTTGTTGTTGTTGTTGAACTAAAGCGTCTTGATTTGTCTGTTGAATCTGAAACGAGAGGAAAGGTTTTAGATTTGGTTTCGGATACATTGCAATCGTAACTCACAACAACCAGTTGCTGTTGCTGTTGCGGTTGCGGCTGTTGGGGTTGACTTTGCGCCTGCGCTTGGCCCTGTCCGGAACGTTGATTTTGCTCGAGATGCTGCCGTTGATGCAACATGAGATGGTTCTTCTGGAAGAAAGCCTTTCCGCACTCGCAAATGTGTGTTCGCACGGTGCAGCCTCCATTCGGATGGCGACGATTGTGCAGCAGAAGACCATGTTTAGCAGCAAATCCTTTGCCGCAGTGTCCGCAATAGTGGGATTTGGGCTTCGCTTGTGCGACCACAACGGTCTGCTGGTGTTGGACCTGTTGAAGCTGCTGGACTGGCTGCTGAACAACCTGAACTTGCTGCTGGTGGGTTGCCTGAGTTTGGACTTGCTGCTGAGTCTGTTGATGTTGTACTTGGACCTGTTGCTGTGGTGGGCTCTGCGGTTGCAACGTTTGCTGTACCACCTGACCGGAGGAGGTGATAATTTGTACTGGAACGGGAGATGATGACATTACAGGATTTGTGCTTACAACGGTAGTGCCACCTCCTATTAATGAATATTCTAATGGTTATTAGAATGTTTTAGGTTGTTGACGTTGTTGTTTAGGGGGTTTTATGGTGGTAGTGGTGTTAGGTGCGTGGGCAACATAAGAAGCGATTCAGGAAGCACAAACGGGTAAGATTGTTTGTTTGGATAGAATAACATGAAAATTGAGAAAAGAAACAAGAAATCATGAGAATGGCGAACTTTTCTTATTTTATCAAATTTAATAAGATCTTAATACTACGAGTTCTACAATTCTAGCGAAGCAAACCTAATGAAAAAAAAATGTTCAAATGAAAATACGACTGTTGCCGCGTAACTTTTTTCGAATGATGTTAATATAAAAAAAAAATGAATTGCAGTTCAAGCTATCTACACATTCACATAAACCCAATCAATGCAAATCAATACCTTGGTTAACGGCTGGGAATAAATGTCCAGGAATGGCAGCCGTAAGGGCGCAAAGGTCCGTCATCAAGCTCTTATCACCGGTGTGTAGGCGCAGATGGAGGGCAAGTGCTTCACGACTATTGAAGGCACTGCCACATTCTCGGCACGCGTACTGAGGGCGCGGGGAGGTTTCGGGCGAACTCTGACTGGCGGCAATTGTGGTGATGATGTTACCCGTATTAACATCCTGGACGGTTTGCTGTCCTTGATGGTGTTGAATTTGTTGAACTTCGATGTGTTGTTGTTGGTGCTGCTGCTGCTGTTGTCGTTGCTGCTGCTGTTGGGCTTGCGCTTGTTGCTGAGCTTGCTGTTGAGCCTGCGCTTGTTGCTGGGCTTGCTGTTGCGCTTGTTGGTTCTGAGCGTTGGATGTCACGACCGTATTGGTGGTTATGATTGTGGTGTTGGATGAATTTGGGTTCACTCCGCCATGGGTCAACCGATTGTGGGCATTTAGTTCCGATTTTGTCCGGAAGCCCTCACCGCAGGCGATACAGGGGAACGGTTGATCTCCGGTGTGAATTCTGAAATAAGTTAAAATGTCATACGTTCAACAGGTACTAGAATTCCGAAGGATCAGTGATCAACTGAGATCAAGAACAAAAATGTGCCTGGCATTCGCACCATAGGACATACCTCATATGGGCAGCGAGTGTTCGCTTCTGCAAGAACTCCTTTCCGCACAGGGTACACGAATGCGGAATACGTCCGTGGAGTTTTCCATGATTAACCAGCTGGAATTTGCGAGGAAAAGTGGCTCCACAATCCGGACACACGAAAGGATTCAACGAACCGTGGAAACGCGAATGCATAACCAAGTGTTCCTTCTGGGCAAAACTCTCTCCACAATCCTCACACACATAGGGCCGTTCTCCGGCGTGGAACTTGCTATGGGTCACAAGGTGGCGTTTCAACGGGAACGATCGGCCACATTCCTGGCACACGAACGGGCGCTCACGGCTATGGACTCGGGAGTGCGTCAGCAAATGATGTTTCAACGTGAAACTCTTTTTGCATTCCTGGCACTGGTAGGGACGATCGGTCGAATGAAGCAGCAAATGGGTGTTCAAACAGTGTTTGTGGGCGAAATCTTTGCCACAGTGGACGCATACGTGGGGTCGTTCACCTACAGCATGGAATAGTCAAATGATTTATTGTTTTATCTTCAGTTCTCAAAGTTAAAGAAGTGCTTACCAGTATGGACACGAGCGTGTGTCGTCAGGTGATGCTTCAGCAAGAAGGACTTTCCGCACTGATCACAAGAGTATGGCCGTTCCTTAGGAACTACGTTTGGTGTTGGTGTGTCTGATTCTTGCACATACTCATTCTATAAGACAAAAAAAAATCAATATTAATCAACTCATCGATTAAAATAAGGATTAAACCACTCACATAATCAATTTCTACAGCTTCCAGCTTTGGTGAAATGCTTAACGTTGGTTCGATCTTCAGTTGATGCGTCGTGATTGTAGCGTGTCCCTGCGAATCATCATTGTCCTCTAGTCCTTGGATAACCTTCTGCACTTGAATGGCGATGGCTAGAGTACAAATTTTAAAATTAATAACAAACATTCAGCGATATTTGACTTTTAGCAACACTCACCAGCGTGCTGTGCATCGGTGTTGGTCGAGTTTGCATGTTGATTGTTGGCGGCCACAGCCGCCGCTGCTCGCTTCATCAGGATATCGTTGCATTCCTCTGCCGTCAGCTGGATCGGTCCAAGTGGAGACATGAATGCCGTGTTGCTGCTTGTGGTAACGATGGCCTTTGATTTTGAGTCAATTATTCCGTTGGCTAGAGCGGAATTAGATTGATCTGGTGATGCGAGGTGCCATTTATCGTGTTGATGGTAAGTGTTTCAGGTTATTTTATGTACAAAATGTTTCCGTTTCGCGTAGTTAGATGGAAAGTTTTTTGTTTTGTTTGTTTGTGTTAGGAGAAGGAGAAAAAGAAAGAAAACATCCATTAAGGTACAACCGCCACAGGAAACCAGGGATTTGCTCTCAAATTTAGAAATTTTAATAACTTTAAATCAATGAACCCATAAGGAAACAGGAACAGACAGCTCAGCCAACTACGGGGTACTTTATCATGCAACAAGTTTCTGAGTTTAAATATTTATGAATCGACTTTGAATAGAGCGCACTCTCCTCCTTTAGAAACGTAGCAGAAACTACCAACTTTGCTAACTACTGCAACCACTATCCTTTTGTTCCCGGTTTATATATCTGTTCTGCGAATCGTCTGTTCTGCCGATAGAAAATAATCGATAATGGCTCGTCGATTGTAGGAGAGTGACTGCCGTCGGAACGACGATAAAAACCAGAGCACGCGGCTCAGTGGTCGATCGAATTTTGCTCCTATTATTCTTGTCCGATAAATTTCACCCTGCTTCTTGGGCGCTGGCAATCGAAATGAATAGACGATAAGAAATTGATTAATCGGCCAAGTTGTGGATGCCGCTCTATAACCGTCCTGCACTACACATTGAACGTGTGATGGTGGTGGTGAACTACGGAAAGAAAGAACAGGAAGGGCTGCCTGGAAAAGACACATCTCGGGCCTTGTTCTCTTTGCCGAGAAGGAGGTGTGAAAAATTGTTTAAATTGAGATGAAAAATGATTATCTCATAAATATTCATGCACGGTTGTTTTAAACTTGTGAAGCGGGTTTGGTATTTTTTTAGAGGTATGAGTTTAATGTTAAGAAACAGTAAATGCTAAAAACTACCCCATTTTGGCCAGGTAATCCCAACGATTAATGGCATTCATAAATCGGTTCAAGTTTGGGATGGTAAAATGTGTCACGGAGCAAAGTGTGTCAGTAAGATCTTTTCCCAAAATTATTCATCATTGAAAATATGTATCACGTAAAGTTATTAGCATAGAATTCTTTTAGCGAAAATCTTACATAGAAAATTGCTTAGCGAAAGTCTGTTTGTAGTACTTATTCCGGACATAATTGTTGGGTAATTCAGTTAAATACGAATTAGGTAATTAAATATGTTAACCCTCTCCTTCCCATGGTAGCACAGGTGATCCACAACTTTTCGGCCCGGGCCATGATTTTCAACCCAGGATTGTGTGCTCATTATTCTCTTGCATATATATTCTTGTGTATTCAACAGTGCAATTATTAAAAAAAAACAATTAAAATACTATTGATTTTAGGTAAACACTTTTTTTATTGAATTCAATAAATTTAGGCTGTAATGTTTGGTTCTGGCACTTGTTTCAGACTTATTGAGGGTGTCCGCAAATGCAACATTGTAACCCTGCAGGAGGATTGCTGGAAGTGATATTATAACGATGATTAATGCACATGAGCTGTGTAGAGTTTTCATCGAGATGGATGGACGAAATTCAAAAGTGCGAAAAATCCAAATAACGTCCAATCGATATCAGAATGAGCAAGTTGAGAATCGAAAGCCGTTTATCCAATGTCAACATACTCAACGTGCACAGCCTGCACCTGGACGATGATGTGAAGGACGCTTTTTACGCGCAGCTGGAACGAGAAAACGATAGCTGCTCAAGACCCTAACGTAAAAATCGTGGCCAGGATAACGTTATCGTCGTTAACGTCAGAGTCTACAATGCAAAGTACCAGCATACCAAGGACACCGGTCTCAGACTCATCGATTTCGTTGCCTTAAAAATCATACTTAGTACCTACTTCCAACACAGTCTCTCTTTAAAAAAATCCGGGTACATTGCCTACCTGTAATTGGCAACATGACCTCATCCGCTATTACTTTCCTTAGATATACTTTCAGGACACTTTTTCATGAATATGGACTTCTAACTCAAGAACCGTGATCCAGTACAATCTTAAATTGAATAAAGCGTTCGAGGCATTTTATAGAATGCAAAAAAGACAGAAATTGCGAGTTGTCTAAAAACAGCTCAAGCTGAACCGGCATGGTAATTTTCTCATCCTTAGAACTTCTTTTCTGACTGTTTCCGAACTCGAGGCAAGAATTTAAAAAATTTATAAGGTTTGAAGATTTTGATTTTTTTTTTTCATTCTGCGAGAAAGTCATGTCTCAAGGCCACATTACAAAACGAGAGTGGGAAAATTTATAAGATTTAAAGATAGCAACAAATCATCAAATTATGTTACATAACATAGATACTTTTTTGAAGTTTGAAATTTGATTTTTTTTTAAGTCTTAGAATTGAGAAATTTTTTAAGTTACATGTAAGATTGAGCATAGACATTCCATTAGAAAACAATGAAAAAATAATAAAATTTGAATCCTCGTATTAACATTTTTTCAGATCTCTTCGAGAAAATTTTCAGGATTGTGGGGCTAGGCAAATTTTTCACTACCATGAACGTAGCGAGATTTCTGCCTTTAAATATAGCGTACACTCAGGTCTTTTTTTTATACTGGAGATATGTACAGTTGTGTTCAATATAATAGCAGCGCATTACTTTGTTAACTTATGATTAATTGAGCTAGAACGTTCGCCACAGAACTACAAATATTTACGATTACAAAATACCAAATTTTTGGAAGCACCTGTTGGAATGTGAGACACCAGGTAAAATTGCTCAAAATAACAGCAGTTTTTGATTTGAATTTTTATGTACTGCAAATGTTTTAAACATTTTTAACTATTATGTACATTTGTTAATTGGGTGGGGATTGTTAGAATTTTGAGACATGTAAAATTTAAAATCTCAAAATTGAGCTGAAATTATGAACAATTTTACCTAGTGTCTCACTTTTCAGCAGGTGCTGCCAAAAATTTGGTATTTTGTAATCGTAAAATTGAACATATTTGTAGTTCTGTGGCGAACGTTTCAGCTCAATTGATCTTAAGAGAACAAAGTTACAACTTGTCAAAGTTGACCATTTTGTATGGAAATCGACATGCGCTGTTATTATATTGAACACAGGTGTATGCACCGTGTAAAAAAAACCTACCAAGATTTTGATTTTTCACATGCTAAAATATTAAGAAAAAAAGAGGTTGTATCCAAGACACGACCGTAGATTTAACGTCCTCGGTATCAATATTCGGCGACTGTTTTAGAGAAACCACTTTTTTGCAGGCAGTCGATGATAATTTTGATCCCCATTGCAAGAGTTGGACATTCGTGCAATGTTCAATAGTGACCTAATGCAAATTTATAAAGTGTTCGTTTTAGCAGATTCTTAGAAAAATTTCCGATCGATTGGCTTGTTAAGAATTAAAATCCATCCGCCGTTGGTCAAAACTTGACCATTTTTCGTAACGCGGTTGATTTTGGTTTGTTTTAAATTGCACCCCCAATATGTTGCCGAAAGACGTAATCCTACGTCAAAATGGATGTTTATACCAATCGTAATTATAGCTTAGCATGGTATTTACACCAAACAATTTGATTTGTTTAACAGCATGCCATTCGATTACCTTTGGCTTGAAACGGATAATGTGATTCGAATCAAGTCGCTTGGTTGTATCGTTATCGAGAAATCGTTAAAAACGTACCGTGTAAATTGTGTCTCAGTGGCACCAACCGCGTAAAAAATGACTTGAATGTATGAGATTTCAGATTTAAAAAAAAAAAACAATCATGGCTCTTGGACTTAGAAAACAGTTTAGGGTTCTGATACTTCACTAGAATTATAATGTCAAATAAATTGAGGAGAATCATAGAGGAATTCCACGGATAGTTCTAAAGTAATTCTGGGTAAATCAATGAAATTTGACTAGAAAATTCTAAAAAAAATTAAATAAATTTCAAGAAAATTTCAAGGATAACCTAAGATGAATTACTAGTTCTGAATACTATTATGGAGATTGTGAAGGAATTCGAGAAAACTCTAAAAGAATTAAGGGAATTCAGATGTTATAACTGGTTATAATCCTGAAACTATGCCTAATGATCTTTTACGGCTGAAAATCTCTTTAATGTTGATAAAACAATTAATCAAAGCGAAATTCTGAGGAGAACTGCTAGGAAATATCTAATTCTTAATCCTTGCAGAATTGCAAGCTAGTTTGAAGAAATTTCCAAGAGAATTCTTAAGAGAATCGATAAAAAATTCAAGGGAATTTCAACTACACGCAAACCAAAAATCTATTACAATGAATGTTAGTTCCGTTTCATATCATCCTCTGTTCATGAACATCGCAACGAATGTTAGAAATTGACTATGCAGGCGATGTAATGGTTTTTTGTCGTTTTTATTTCGTGTTCTATCTACGCTTTCGACTATACCAGTAAGCTTGTAGAACGACGCACATTGTAAAACATTGTAGAACGACGCACAAACTTGCCTCGAATCTCTCCAGCAGAAAAAGCATACGAAGTCGAGTATGCGAGAAAATGAGCGCTTCATGTTTGCTTTTAGGCCTTCTATTCAGAAGCATGGAGAGAGCAGTGGAGAAAGCACAGGTCTGATAATCGCAACGTTCGTGGTTTTCGAGTCCAGTCGGCAACCTTTTTCAATTTTTTTTCGACATAACTAATTTACCTCACTAATACACTCTACATTTTTCGGTCTCCAATTTTCTTGCATTGGACCGCAACTAGGTATATCGCATCCTCGGTTCATGCGGTCTCCACTAACATCCTCTGATGATGAATCCCACATAATTGTAAGCGAATCTTATATCCCCCGGTTGGGTGTAGTTACTGGAAGAATCTGACAGGAAATTTTAAGCATATTGCCAAGGGAAATTTAAGGAGATTTTCAAGAGAATTCCAAGAAAACTCCAAGAGATCCTCGCTAGGGCATTTTGAAACAGAAATTTAAGGAATATTTGAGAATAATTCACAAGGAAATACACAAGGAAATGTTGGTATACAGCCGTTGGTAG